ACAAAACTAAAAGACAACCTACAGAATGGGAGAAGATATTTGCAAATGACGTATCAGATAAAGGGCTAGTTTCCAAAATCTATAAAGAACTTATTAAACTCAACAGCAAAGAAACAAACAATCCAATCATGAAATGGGCAAAAGACATGAAGAGAAATCTCACAGAGGAAGACATAGACATGGCCAACATGCACATGAGAAAATGCTCTGCATCACTTGCCATCAGGGAAATACAAATCAAAACCACAATGAGATACCACCTCACACCAGTGAGAATGGGGAAAATTAACAAGGCAGGAAACCACAAATGTTGGAGAGGATGCAGAGAAAAGGGAACCCTCTTCCACTGTTGGTCGGAATGTGAACTGGTGCAGCCACTCTGGAAAACTGTGTGGAGGTTCCTCAAAGAGTTAAAAATAGGCCTGCTCTAGGACCCAGCAATTGCACTGATAGGGATTTACCCCAAAGATTGAGATGCAATGAAACACCGGGACACCTGCACCCCGATGTTTCTAGCAGCCATGTCCACAATAGCCAAACTGTGGAAGGAGCCTCGGTGTCCATCGAAAGATGAATGGATAAAGAAGATGTGGTTTATGTATACAATGGAATATTACTCAGCCATTAGAAACAACAAATACCCACCATTTGCTTCAACGTGGATGGAACTGGAGGGTATTATGCTGAGTGAAGTAAGTCAATCGGAGAAGGACAAACAGTGTATGTTCTCACTCATTTGGGGAATATGAATAATAGTGAAGGGGAATATAAGGGAAGGGAGAAGAAATGTGTGGGAGATATCAGAAAGGGACACAGAACATAAAGACTCCTAACTCTGGGAAACGAACTAGGGGTGGTGGAAGGGGAGGAGGGCGGGGGGTGGGGGTGAATGGGTGACGGGCACGGAGGGGGACACTTGACGGGATGAGCACTGGGTGTTATTCTGTATGTTGGTAAATTGAACACCAATAAAAATTAATTTATAAAATAAAAAAAAAAACAATGGAATATTACTCAGCCATTAGAAACGACAAATACCCACCATTTGCTTCAACGTGGATGGAACTGGAGGGTATTATGCTGAGTGAAGTAAGTCAATCGGAGAAAGACAAACAGTGTATGTGCTCATTCATTTGGGGAATATGAATAATAGTGAAAGGGAATATAAGGGAAGGGAGAAGAAATGTGTGGGAAATATCAGAAAGGGAGACAGAACATAAAGACTCCTAACTCTGGGAAACGAACTAGGGGTGGTGGAGGGGGAGGAGGGCGGGGGGTGGGGGTGAATGGGTGACGGGCACTGAGGGGGACACTTGACGGGATGAGCACTGGGTGTTATTCTGAATGTTGGTAAATTGAACACCAATAAAAATTAATTTATTAAAAAAATAAAATGAGTCTCTTGTAGACAGCAAATAGATGGGTCCTGCTTTTTTATCCAGTCTGAAACCCTGCGCCTTTTGATGGGGTCATTAAACCCATTCACGTTCAGAGTTACTATTGACAGATATGAGTCAAACTTCAACTTTCAATGCTTTGCATTTTTAATGACATGCCTTCTTTTAGGCTTATTGGGAGGCTTTTTTTCATTCTGTCTGAAAAGGTCTTTTTGTGCAGATGGTGCATCTATTGAGGGAAACTTCACTTGGAACTAATGAGGGTCTCTTCAAATATTTCTCTGAGGGTAATGTATAATTTAGAAGCAAGTGCACCATTGTGTTCTTTTCTCAGGATGATTGTATTCTTTTTTTCAGGTGACATGCCTCTGGAGATAATAAACTTAGTGTTCAGTGTAAGAAAAAAATAAACCAGAGTTCATACCACCCTTAGTCACATACGATAAGCTCTTTCTTTTTCTTTTTACTTACCGCATCATCAGAGGGAAAGGCAAAAGACACAAGGCTGAGCAGAGACCAAACATGATCATGTGCCATTAGACTAGTCAGCTTTCTATCTAGAAGCCATTACTGCTAATTTCCCAACTCATATCCATGTAGGAATATAAGAAAGACTGAGCACAGGGAAGGGGTGTGTTCAGTAGGTATGTTACATAAGAGTCTACATACTTAAACTGTATGTATGTTACAGAAAAGTCCCAGTCACCCTGGCAGAGGATAAACTGTACTGTAACCCTGTGAAATCAAGTGTATGGAAACTTACATCAAAATGGTCTGAAATTTTAAGCTTTGCCAACATTGTTTAACAAAACTATAATATACAAAAGAAAAAATTTTATGCATATCATTTTTAAAAATTTTTTTATTTATTTATGATAGTCACAGAGAGAGAGAGAGAGAGAGAGAGAGAGATCGGCAGAGACACAGGCAGAGGGAGAAGCAGACTCCATGCACCGGGAGCCCGATGTGGGATTCGATCCCGCGTCTCCAGGATCGCGCCCTGGGCCAAAGGCAGGCGCCAAACCGCTGCGCCACCCAGGGATCCCCTGCATATCGTTTTAATAAAGGACATAGTAAGATAAAGCTTGTTAGTATTTGTGGGTGTTTCTGTAAAGACACAGGATTTTAAGAATACCATATACAATAATTTTGAGTAGATTGGTGGAAAAAAAGATTTATAGCAAATTGACAAGTTCAGCTCACCTGCTGAAGGCCACAGTGCCTTTCTTTTTCTGGCTCTCCAATACATTTCATATATTATCAAGGCTAAGTACCAGCTTTCCTCCTGTGTCTGCTGATTTGACCAGGAGGGTGACAGCAATTATTCCTTGAATGCATCTTACCATATTGCTTTTTTTTCTTTCCATGCCATTCCCTACTAAAATTGTTTCCTAGTATATTTCATTCATTGTCCATTTTAACTCATTCTGCTGATGGCCACATACCAGCCTACTACAAAGAACAAATTTAGTAGTTTTAAACCCTGTGCAGGACACAACCCTAGCCCTTCTGGGGAAACAAACAGCTGTTGGTTGCATGCTATTAGGAGCCACCTATTCATTATTATATTACATTGCATTCAAAAGACTACAACTTAATATGGTACATTATAGCTAAAGTTAAAGAAATGCAGATGTACCATACCCCATAAACCATTTTCTACTGATTAGATGGAAATCATAAATTTTATAAGAACATAGGTCTTGTGAAAGGGTTTAACAATCTTTTTTTGCACCAAATGAGTGCCATAGCTACTCTGGGATTAGAGGTTTTAGAATGAATAAATGGAGTGTTCTTCACTTGCAATGAGTGTTGGACTTTTTTCTAAAAGGAGAGGACAAAAAAATCATTATTTAAAGTATTTGCTCCTGATGACTAAGCAGCCTGCTTTGGGAGCAGTGTGTAGTGTACATATGTGTAGGCACACATGTATGTAGATATATATGTGTGATGAGGGGTAAAAGGGATAGGCTTTGCATAACTGTTAAATTTCTATGAATTTCGGCCATGTTAAATTTCAGGTGAATGTCACAATAATGTACATTCAGTATTCTTAAAACACACCTGCTTCGGATTGTGCTTAATCTCCATTAACCTCAATGACTACACTTTGTGCAATTTGGCATAAATATGGGGAAGCACATTCTTTTCCCTGGCAAAGACAGCCTGAGATTGGGCTCTATGAGTACCAGAGGAGATACTGACACTGGCTGATGTCATGTAGTGTGAAATATGTGTTACATGGGACCAGTGTGGGAAAGAGACACATATTACATTTATATCACATAGAAAATAACAGTTGTTTAATTGCATACTTTTAGATTTTGGATGAAGTGGAGCTTTTCTGAAATGTGATCCTGCCCAAACTGCTCTCAATGTTCTAAGCTGTTCCCTGATAATTCCAGTACTGGGAAGCCAAGTCAGTCTAACAGTGCACTGGACATGATAACTGAGGTGTATTCTGGACAGCTATGTGCTTTTGGAGGCTACTTCATTTTTTTTTGCTCTTAATTTTTTCCAGATGTGCCATGGGAAAAAGGTTTCTATGCAAGGACATTGTTGTAATGAATTGAGGAACTTAAGTAATATAAACTCTGAAATAACAGGTCAGCAATGAGAGCATGAAAGAAAGAATGGAGCACACTGGTATGCCTAGAAACACTGTTATGGTTCAAGTTTTCATTCCAGTCCTTCAATGAAAGACTTTTAAAAGCACTAGAGAGTTATATAGCACCTTTCAGTTGTAGGATCCCAACAAAAGTGTCTACACTTTGCAAATGGGGAATATGGGTACCAAAAATTGGAGAATGAGATCCCACAGAGGTAATTTGATAGGGCCTCAAGGAAACAGGCAATAGAGCCAGATCAGGATACACTAATTATTAAATGACACTGTCAAACAATAGTCAATCAATTGGGGGGGTGTCTATGTACAGTAGTCAATACTGAATAATCTATGGATAGGGGTATTATCAGAATTTACAAATTAGCGGAATAAAGGTGCTGAGATAGGAATAGGGTTTATTTCTTCAAGACCCCACTTAAAACTCATTTATTTGGCCCTTTGAAGATGGTGTTAAGTCTGTAAGACATTAAACAATCAGCTTTGCATTATAGTTCTCCTGAGCTTTACCCTTTCAGTGCTTCCCTGTAGTTTCTTGACACTGTCTCTAATGACGTGATTTATATCATTGCTCAATGCTGATACGCTCTATGCATTCAAGGCAGTTATTGATTCCTTCCTGACTTTGAATCATAGTTAGAAACTACCATTGGCAGAAAATGATAGATGGGAAAGGAAAAGATTTCTCTGAGTCCCACTGGCTGTGGAGTTAAGTAATGGCCATATCTTTGGAGAAAGGTGCATTACTATATGAGTAAAAGGCAAGGTTTGTCCATTTTAAGACCATGTGAATGGCTAAATTAGCTTTCAAGAAAAACCTAAACAAGAGAGTGTTTTGGAGACAGAGAGAGGAAGAGGGAAAATCTTCCCACCTGAGCATACACTATTTCACTTGTGAAACCTATTGTGTATATTCTTCTAAGTTGCTTCTTAGCATCTGAGTTTGAGAAACAGTCCCTGGCCCTAATAGATTTTGTCACGTCTAGTATTCTCTCAAATGAAACACTGACACAATCCATTTAATTTATGCTAAAAGTCTTACCTGGCCCCAAATCACCTAGGAGATACAAATGGACAGGTTTTTTATTTCTTTAAGTAGCTGAATTTTTCACTTTCTCAGCTCTACTGAAGCCTGAACACCAAATAGTTTGTGGTAGGTAAATTTTCTTTTACTCAAAAAGGTTTTAGTGGGGGATTACTTAGTAAACCTAATATCCTTCTAGAGCTCAACTCCTTAATATCTGTAAGATGCCTCTAACTCTCACTAATCTCTGTAAGAGTTGGGACTTCTACTGCTGGCAGCTGGGCACTAGAACACTGACTGAGAAATGAATAACATCAATGCTCTTAGGTATTGTTATTATAAAGATTCAGCATTAGTGTTCATACTCATTAATTCAGGCACTAGGACTAAAAGAAAGGCTGATTATAAATAAATGCAGAAATGAATGTAAACTACCTTAATGGCTAAATTACCACTGAATCTAGAAAAAAAGAAAAAGAAAGTATTGGCATATTACTATTAGGTTATCATTATCTGTACATTAACCGCCTGTTGTGAAACCACAGATCTTGAGTGCTAATCATTAGGCTAATTTCAACTTTGAAACTTTACCCTATGAACAGTATTGTAATTAAACTTGAAAACTACCCTTAAGCCCCTTAACAAAATCTATGGTGCATGACTTCGGAGTATAGTTTTTTTTTTATCATAAGAACAATTCATATAGACAAAAATAAATCTAGGTAGCAGAGAAAATAATAAAAGTAACTGGAGAATTTTACTATAGCCTACATTAAAAGTCTTTAAAACACCAATACTTATGTTTAATAAAGTGGAAATCTGATCTTCTCAGTTAGTTGTGGTGTTTTCAGGAACATCATACATTTATGACAAAGAATAGGCTTTGCATTGTTGTTCAATTCCCAGTTTGAGGACCTTGATTATGGTATGTTGATTCTGCCTTTTGAATTTTAGATATCTGATATAGGGATGGTATTCACAGCCCAGCAAATATTTATATTGCTATTTAGGGAAGACAGTAGGATTGAATAAAAACCTTGTTTTTTTTTAACCTTGATTTTCACAACACCACTGCAGAATTTTGTGTAAATATGCTGCACATATGCATGCTTATAAATGCACAGGCACACAAGTAGCAAACACAGTCTTTTTCCCCTCAATACCACAAAGATCTTATAAATATAATTAATAGTCTTTCCAGGGGAGTTAGAGACTCCATGGAAGTCTTTTTGAATTCCTCTTTTTTTTTAAATTTATTTATGATAGTCACACAGAGAGAGAAAGAGAGAGGCAGAGACACAGGCAGAGGGAGAAGCAGGCTCCAGGATGGTGCCCTGGGCCAAAGACAGGCGCCAAACCGCTGCGCCACCCAGGGATCCCTTGAATTCCTCTTTACCTGAGAAGAGGAATAAAAAGAGCCTCTGGAAAGGTATATATGTTACATTTAGGTTTTTACAGATTGGAGAGGTAAAATGAAGAAAGAGAGGAAGACTGGTTTGAATTAATTGCTACTAGATTGATGACTTCAGTTAGTAAACAAATAACTTGTCCTGAAACATCTATCTGCGCAGCAAGTTTGATGGAAGCTTTCAATCCACCATGGTGACTTATTTTGAAGATTAAAATGGTTCCCAACATTGAACTCTGTAAGCCTCATGGGAGATGGAAGGCCCTGGGAATGGAAAAAAAGAAATTCACAGGTGAGCTGAACAACTGTAAATATCCACACATTAACATCCATTGACAATAATATGCAACCATTAAAATTATATTTATTAATAGTATGACTCAGCACTGGAAAATGCTAAGTGAAAAGAGTAGGATAAAAAATTATACATACACTGTTATCATTATTTTTAACCCAGAAATTGTATCTGAAACAAAAACAAGGAATATACTAAATTGTTCGAAGTGGTGGGTTCATGGATAATTTATTTTTATCTTCTTTACATTCTACTTATGCTTTCCATATTTTCTCAAGTAAATAAATAATCATTTGATAGCACAAAATACTTATTTTTGAAGTTCACACGAAAATAACATGAGCTTTGAAAGTGGGCAATTCTGAATTTGAATTCTAGCTTTGCTATACTTGTTTATCTCTGTGACTCTGGACATATAACATCAATGGATCTTAGTTTCTTCATCTGTAACATAAGCACAATAAAATCTACCTGAAACAACATCTGCCATATAGTAGGCACTGAAGTAGCTATTATTAATATAAACTTTCTGGAAAACAATTCAGCCATATATTTTAAGAGTCTTTAAGTTCATACCAGTAATTTTGCTTCTAGGATTCTATCCTAAAAAATGATTATAAATGAGAAAACAGATTAATATTCAATGATATTATTGATAGCCTTATTCATAATAGTGAAAAATTGGATAAAATCTTAAGGTTGGAAAGTTAAAAAATTGATTAAATAAACAACAGTACCTTGATATAATGTGAAATTACTATCGGTGTTAATGAGAAATGCAGAATTCAAAACAATGCAATATGAGCTCAATGATTAAAAATATATTCATAGAAAATATTGGAATATTCATAGAAAAGATTTAACATCAGTTATCTTTAGGTGGTGGAATAGGTGATTTTAATTTTCTTCATAGTTTTTTCTTTTTGTTATGCTTGATATACCTTTAAAATTAAGTCTAATGTGTTTATTATAAAAGCAATTCATCTTCATCACAGAATAACTGAAAAATATAGAAAGGAATAAAGAAAAATAATGACCTATAACCTCATAGACTGTTTTTCATTCTCTCTCCTCATCATTCATTCAACAAATATTTATTGCATACTTAACACATGCCAGGCACTGTTTAGGGACTGGCACTAAAATGTGAACAAGACATAGTCCCTGCTCTCAGGGAGCTTACAATCTAGTGAGGGAGGCAGAGAAGTAAATAATTATAACACAGAATAAAAGTGTTCTCATAATGTTATTATGGTAGCATCCAAAAGGGACATAGACCTCAGCTATGTAGGTCAGCCAGTGATGTACCTGAGTAAACGATATGGAAGCTGAAAACTGGAAAATAAATATTATATAGCTAGATGAAGGAGACTGGTATGGAGGAGGTAGGACAGTGCTGAGAAAGCATGCCAATCATGGAAAACAGGGGGGTTTATGTTTGAGGGACCGAAAGCAGTAGAGTGTGGCTCAAGCATAGGGTGTGGAAATAAAACTAGTGGAGAGGAAGCTTCAAAGTTCAGAATTCTGGGAGATGAACCTGGAGAGATGAGCAGGAGCCAGATCATGAAAGGACTTGTAAACCATGTTAATGTGTTCAGACTATGCTGAGGCCAATGAAAGTCATTACACAGATTTGAGTTTTTAACACCATTCTAGTTGCAATATGGTGAATGGATTGGATGAGGGGCAAGATTGAGGCAGGGAAGCCAGCTAAGAGGCTACTGCAGCAATAGAGGGGACACATGATCTGGGGTCATGGTAATTAATATAGAGAAAAGTGCACAGCTTCCAGAGATATTTAGGAAACACAGTCAACACACCTTGGTGATTAACTGGATGTGGGTGGGAGATGAAGGAGTGGGAACAAAACAGGAAAAAGGTTTTGGATGAGTGAAGTTGAAAGGCATTTGGTTATTCAGGTCTAGAGTTCAGGAAAGAGTCCTGGGTTGGAGAAACATATTCAGTAGTTGTTAGTGTGTGTGTGTGTGCACAATGTGTATATATTGCATATATTATATACATTAATTATATATTACATACATATACACACACTCTTTAGCCAAGGAATGGATAGATTTCTTAAGGACTAAGTAGATTAATGTGATGATCAAGAAAAAAACTTGGTAAAGTTTGGGAAGATATTATTTTAAGGAGGAGATCTCTGATGGTGGGGTGGGAGGGAAAGAAATTGTAGAAAGTTTCAGAGAAACATGACAGAACTTAACTTTTTTGCTTTATTGTTTAATTTTTAAATATAAATAAGGTAAAATTAACTTTTGTTTGGTATTATGAGGTTTTAAACATGCGTAGAATCTCATAACCACCATCTCAGCATACAGCTGTTATTTTCATATACAATTCTTTTTATTTTAAAGATTTTATTTATTTTTTCATGAGAGAAACACACACACACACACACACACACAGAGAGAATGAGAGAGAGAGAGAGAGAGAGAGAGAGAGAGAGAGAGAGGCAGAGACACAGGCAGAGGGAGAACCAGGCTCCACATAGGAAGCCCAGGACTCCGGAATCACGTCCTGAGCCAAAGGCTCACGCTCAACCGCTGAGCCACCCAGGCATCCCTCATATACAAATTTTGTATAAACATATAGGTTTTTATTCTAGGGAAAATATACAAGAGTGGAATTACTGGGTCATATGGTTCAACTTTACAAGAAACTTTTAAACAAACTATCAAACTGTTTTCCAGAGTACCTGTGCTATTGTGCATTCCCACCAAAAATGTAGGAGAATTCAAATTATTCTGTCAACACTTGGAATTATCACTATCTTTTTAAAATTTATCCATTTCAGTATGAGTGTAAATGATTCTCCTTGAAGTTTTAATTTGCATTTTCCTAATGGCTAGTGATGTTGAGCATTTTTTCTTGTGCTTTTTTTTCCACCTTTTGCCCATTTTTTTTTATCATGGTGTTTGTTTTCTTATTTTTCAGCTTTTAGAACACTTGCATATTCTGAATACAAGTCCTTTATCAGATACGTGTTTTGCAAATATTTCTTCTCAGTCAGTGGCTCGTCTTTTTATTTTCTTAACAGTGTTCTTTTGAGAAAACATTTTAAATTTTGTTCAAGTCTAATTTGTAAAATTTTCCTTTTATGTATTTTACTTTTGATGTCATATCTAAGAACTTTGCCTAAGTCAAAGTGACATAGGTTTTCTCCTACATTTTAAGAGTTTTATAGTCTTGAATTTTACATTTACATATATGATCCATTTTGAATTTATGTTGTGAAGTGTACATGTTGCAGTGATGTCTAGTTGTTCTAGCACCATTTGTTGAAGAGATTGTCATTTTTACCAGTGAATTACCATTATATCTTTGTGTAAAAACCCATAGATCATCTTTATGTGGGTCTATTTTTCAAAAATTTTTATTTATTTATGATAGTCACACACAGAGAGAGAGAGAGAGGCAGAGGGAGAAGCAGGCTCCATGCTCCGGGAGCCCGACGTGGGATTCGATCTCGGGTCTTCAGGATCGCGCCCTGGGCCAAAGGCAGGTGCTAAACCGCTGCGCCACCCAGGGATCCCTATGTGGGTGTATTTTTGTATTTGATTTTTTTCTGTTCCATTGGGTCTTTTTGCTGCTACCACATTGTATTGACTACTGTGGAATTATAGTATGTCTTAATATTGGACAGATACTGTCTTCTGACTTTGATTTTCTTTTTCAGGATTTTTCTGGCTATTGTAGTTGCCTCATTTTTCCATATAAATTTTAGAATCAGCTTATATCTACAAAAATCTTGCTACAACTTTTTAAAAGATTTTATTTATTTACTTGAGAGAGAGCAAGAGTGAGAGAGCAAGAGCAAGAGAGCACAGAGGGAGAGGGAGAAGCAGACTCCCCACTGCGCAGAGAGCCCAGAAGCCTGAGATCATACCTTAGCTGAAGGCAGCCGCTTAACTGACTAAGCCACCGAGGTGCCCCAAGCCTGCTACAATTTTAATTGGGATTGCATTAAACCTGTATACCAATTTGGGGAGCATTGAAATCTTAACTATATTGAGTCTTCTGACGTCTCTTCATTTATTTAGGACTTCTTTGATCTTTTTCATCAGTGTTTTGCAGATTTCAGCATACAGACCTTATATATAGTTTGTTAGATTTATATCTAGCTATTTAATTTTTGGAATTATTGTTTTGGCAAATATTGTAGGTGGTACTTTTTTTTTAAATTTTGGTTTCCCAACTGCATTGCAAATGTATAGAAACACAATAGATGCTTGTGTGTTTATCTTGTGTGTTGTAAACTAGCTAAACTCACTTATTAGTTCAAAGAGTTTTTGTAAATTCTTTGAATTATCTATGTAGACAATCATGTCATCTGCAAATCAAGATAGTTCTATTTTTTTCCAGAATGCCTTTATATTTTTTTCTAGCACTATTGCATGTGTTAGGATTTCATTATGATATGTGATAGGAGTGATATGAGAAGTTGTGGTTAATAGAAAAATTACTGGTAAGAAGGTTAAGTAATGACGATTTTTCAAGCCAATTTAGGCTGAAGATAACAAATGTGTAATCTCAATTGTGTTATTTGTAATAAGTTGCAATCAGTATTTATAATCTGTTGTGTTATTTTTGTAGTAGTTCTCAGCAGCCTTGGTATAGGAATGGAGAAGGCAAATGGATTGAATCTGGATTTTTTTTTCTGGCTGAGGCAATGGAGTTAGGGAGATAAAAATATTGGCAAGAAATGCCATTTGCAACAACATGGATAGACCTAGAAAGTATGATGCTAAGTGAAATAAGTCAGTCAGAGAAAGACCAATATCATATGATTTCACTCATTTTTGGACATTTAGAAACAAAACAAATGAACAAAGAAAACAAAAAACCCTGGACTCTTAAATACAGAGAACAAACAAGAGGTTGCCTGAGGGAAGGTTGTGAGGGAGGGGTGAAATACATAAAGGGAAACAAGAGCACAACTTAACCTTGATGAGCATTAAGTAATGTATTCAATTGAACCACACTGTACATCTGAAACTAATTAACACTACTTTATTATGCTTCAAAAAATATATTGGCAAGAGAGAAACTGAAGGCTCTCTCCAGTCAAAGCTGGGAGTAACCATGTAAAAATTTAATTTTCACTTATGTTTTTGTTGCATTTTCTTTCAGTGTTTTTCTACATAGACAGCTATATTTTAATACTTAAAAGTTTTAAATTAAAATTTAAAATGTAATTTTAGAATCCTTTCAAGGTTTATCCATGTTTTAACATATATTCTTTTGGTTGCCAAATAGTATTCACTTGTATGGATATGCCACATTTATTTATTTATTTATCAGCAGATAGACATTAGAGTTGTTTCCACATTTTGGCCATTATGAATAATGCTGTTGTAAACATTCATGCACAAGTTTTTGTGTGGACATATATTTTCATTTCTCTTCATTATATACAAGGACTAGAATTTCTGGGTCATGTGGTATTTCTATGTTTAACATTTTGAAAGACTGTCAAACTGTTTTCCAAAGTGATTGAATCATTTAACACTCTAATCAGCAATGTGTGAGGTTTCTGATTTTTCCACATCATTGTCAACACTTGTTATTTTCTGTCTTTTGGATACTAGTGGATATTAAGTGGTATTTTGTAGTTTTGATTTGCATTCTTCCAATAGCTAATAATGTTAAGCATCTTTTCATGTGCTTGTTGACCATATACCCATGGAGAAATATCTAGTCAGATACTTTGTCATTTTTTTTAATTGGATTTTCTTTTTATTATAGAATTGTAAAAGTTCTTTATATATCCTGCACACAAGTTTCTTATCAGATATTTGATTTGCAAATATTTTCTCATCAAAGGCCACATATATAATTCCATGGGATCATGAATTATGTGGAATGTCCAGAATAGGCAAATCTATACAGACAGAAAGGTAGATTAGTGGTTACCAAGAAGTGGGATGGAGGAATTGAAAGTGACTGCTAAAGAGTATGGTATTTCTAAACCTTTTTAAAAAATTTTTTATTTATTTATGATAGTCACTGAGAGAGAGAGAGAGGCAGAGACATAGGCAGAGGGAGAAGCAGGCTCCATGCACCGGGAGCCTGATGTGGGATTCGATCCCGTGTCTCCAGGATCGCGCCCTGGGCCAAAGGCAGGCGCCAAACTGCTGCGCCACCCAGGGATCCCAGAGTATGGTATTTCTAAATATTCCAAATTAATTGTGGTGATGGTTGTGTAGCTTTGTGAATATCTTAAAAATCACTGAATTGTACATTTTAAGTGGTCAAGTTATATGGTATTGTGAATTATATCACAATATAAGCTGATGCAAATATACCTTTAAAATTACACTGCATTAATACAGCTTTTTAACATAACTCTATTAATTGTTCTTCAAAATACTTTTATTGGTATAAAATATTTCATCATAATAATGAAGGAATTTATTTCACCATTCCTCTATTGTTAGATATTTAGCTTTGTTTCTACTTTTCTGGTGTTATGATAAATTGATAATAAATAGTTGTGCAGGGACGCCTGGGTGGCTCAGCGGTTGAGTGTCTGCCATCGGCTTGCGGCTTGATCCCAACCCAAGGTCCTGGGATTGAGTCCTGCATCAGGCTCCCTGTGAGGAGCCTGATTCCCCCTCTGCCTATGTCTCTGCCTCTCTCTGTGTGTTTCTCATGAATAAATAAATAAAATCTTAAAAAATAATAAAATAAAAAACCAGTTGTGCAGATCTCTGATTATTTCATTAAAGTACATCCCTAAAATTTGGTTATCAGAAAAAATTATATGAACATTTTATGGGTTTTTATATGTTACTAAATTTCATAAAAACGATGTATGAATTTAAATTTATAACAGCACCTGTTTCAAACAGCACCTGTTTACATCCTTACCAATACTAAGTACTATAATTTATAAAAATTGGCTATTATGGTAAACAAAAAGTGATATTTTGGGTTATTTTAATTTGCATTTCTTTGTAGTGAATTTGAATAATTTTCATGTTTATTCTTCATTTTAAATTTTATTTGTTGATTGTTTGCATTGTTTACTCATTTTCTAATGGTTGTATTTTTTTTCCTTTCTGATTGGCAATATCTTTGTAAATTAAGGGTGTTAAATTTTGAGTGTTACATATTTTGCAAATGTTTCTAGTCTTTTCATATTGAAGGAAATATTTATAATTAGTGCTTTTTATATAAAAATTAGGGCAATAATGTCTTTTTTTACCTACAAACATTTTAAGCAAATTTAAAAATATGTCAGCAATTGTTAATTTCAAATTGTAAATAAATGGTCATTTAATTTAAACAATATTGGGGAGATGGAGCATTATGCACATGAATTCTATGGCGTGTTATGGACATGAATTCTATATAAGGTCTACAGAAATGGAAACACATTATAAGGGCTATTAGTCAAGTTGTATAAATTATATATAGAACTTCTACTTATGTGAATAATATGAGGGTGAAAAATTTAATATCTTATTCACCAGAGCAAGAACTTAATTCTTTTCTAGTCTGCCCCTTAGCAGTCCAGGCAACAAATCTATATGCCTCCCTCAGAATACTGACCTGAGAGATGCAGGAAATGTGTAAACTACTATGTTTCTGTTTCCATGGTGAGAGATGATGAAGCTTCTGGATAATCTGAAAGGTTGAAAAGTGAAGGTGATCAAATGACCCTTTTTATTTTATGGGCGGGTATTATTTCACTGGTATATTTCATTTTTTTCAATCCCTGGAGACACTAGATATCTGCAGATCTCTAAAGACTGGTGTGCTATCCCAAAGCATTTGTAACCAGTTGAGATTTTCATATTCCAAAAGTAGTCAGGTTGATGTACCGTAAAAGAAGATTATTTTATTTATAAGCATTATCTGATCTATAATAATGGCAGGTATTAGACTTAGACAGCTGTGATAACAACTCAACATCATCTGGCTTTAATGGGATGCTTTGGGTCTTGCTACTCAAAAAATTATCCTATTTCATGTTTTTCTACTGGACATATTGAAATAGCTATTAAAGTACTTTTGCTGTTGCTGTGTTTCTAAAAAGGACTAAGGCATCCAGAAAGCAAGAGGCTTTAGAATTAACAAACAACATCATTTATGGTACACATGTTTTTGTTTCTAATATGAGCATTTTGGAGGAGTAAAGTACTTTTGAATCCGCTTGCTTAATGTACTGATAATCACTTTCTTTATACTCCTTGCATAATATTATACTTGGCAGTTTGAGATTTAAAAAAACAAGCTGATGGGGAAAGAAAAGTGGTGGTGGAATAGGGAGACTCTGGGCATGTCTTGTTCCATGAACACAATGAGATAACCATCAAATCATTCTAAATACCCCAGAAGTAGAACTGAAGACTGACAGAACAAACTCCACAAATAAAGGAAGAGAAGAGGTCACATCAAAAAAGGTAGGAAGTGGGGAGACATGGCTGTGGGAGAAATGGATCACAGGTGCTGCAGAGGGGAGGGAGCCATATTTGTAGAGAGAAGCATACTTGTGCACACGTGCATGCACACGCAAGAGAGAGAGACACACACACAGGGGAATGCACAAGAATGCTTCCCCAAAGCCATTGGCTTGGAAAAGGGGAGGAGCTGAATTTCATGAATTCTTGCAAAAAGCAGAGCTTAAAGCCTGGAGTTTTATTTTTTTTAATTTTTTAAATAAATTTATTTTTTATTGGTGTTCAATTTACCAACATACAGAATAACACCCAGTGCTCATCCCGTCAAGTGCCCCCCTCAGTGCCCGTCACCCATTCACCCCCACACCCCGCCCTCCTCCCCTTCCACCACCCCTAGTTCGTTTTCCAGAGTTAGGAGTCTTTATGTTCTGTCTCCATTTCTGATATTTCCCACACATTTCTTCTCCCTTCCCTTAAGTTTTAAAGGTCAGTAAACTTGACTGTGACAGAGCCTGGAGGGCACTTTGCTGCTCCTGGAGAGAAGAGCATTCACAGAGATGTCTCTCCAGGAAAAAAGGAGTTGGCCTGCATCATTTCCCTCCCCCACCCATCAGCATAAATACAGAGTCACCTGTTGGAAACACAGCAGTGCCTACCCTGGCTGTCTAACTTGCTTATATGAAGCCCCACACCCCTGCACACTGGTAGGACTGCCCTTTTCAGTCACACTTGCCTCAGTCCCAGTGTGGTGAGCCCCTCCCCCAGAAGACTGGCACAAACCCATGACCAGACCATGTTTCCCAACCAGAGAGTTCTGCAGGGCTTCAGTTGTGGTAAAGGTGGTGTCAGATCTCATTCCACAAGAAGACCAGAGCACACCTAGTTCAAACTCTCATCATTCAGGACAGGAACCAAACACTAAGGAGAGACTGCAGACAACTGGCCTGAAGGATAGAGAAGCCTAAACACAATAGCAGAGTACACAAAGCACACATCAGAGACACTTCCTGAAGGGCTAATCCCTGGGCACTCCATAACCCCTTTGTCATAAAGCCATTACATTCAGGAGACATAGGAGACATAACTGGCTTTTCTAACACAGAGATGAAGGTAGAGACTTAGACAAAACATGAAGACAGAAGAATTTATCATAAATGACAAGATAAGGCCATGGCCAGAGATGTAAACAAAATAGATGTAAGTAAGATGACTGATAGAAAATTTGAAGCAACAATCAGAATAATTACTAGGCTTGAGAAAAGAATGGAAGACATCAAGGAATCCCTTACCACAGAGATAAAAGAATTAAAAAATCAGAAATGAAGAATGCAATAAATAAGATTGGAGACAGGCTTAAGGCAATGAATAGCAGGCTGCAAGAAGCAGAGGAATGGATCAGTGACCTAGAAGACAAAAGAATGGAAAGTAACGAAGGTGAACAAAAGAGAGAAAGAATTATGCAACACAAAAATAGACTTAGGGAACCCAGTACTTCATCAAACATAATAATATTCGTATTATTGGAGTCCCAGAAGAAAAGAGAGAAAAGGGGCAGAAAATTTATTTGAAGAAAGAATAGCTGAAAGTATTTCTAACCTGGGGAAAGAAACATATCCAGATTCAGGAGGCACAGAGGATTCCCATCAAAATCAACAAAATCAGATAAACACGTAGACATTTCATAATTAAATTTGCAAAATATAGTGATAAGGAAGAAAATCTTAAAAGCATCAAGACAAAAGCAGTCCTTAATTTACAAGGGAAAAACCATAAGGCTAGTTGGGGATGTCTCAACAGAAACTTGGCAAGCGACAGAGAGTGGCATGTTGTATTAAAAGTGCTGAACGGGGGATCCCTGGGTGGCGCAGCGGTTTAGCGCCTGCCTTTGGCCCAGGGCGCAATCCTGGAGACCCGGGATCGAATCCCACATCGGGCTCCCGGTGCATGGAGCCTGCTTCTCCCTCTGCCTATGTCTCTGCCTCTCTCTCTGTGTGTGTGACTATCATAAATAAATAAAAATAAAAAATAAAAAAATAAAAAGTGCTGAACAGGAGAAACTGGCAGCCAAGAATACTCTATCCAGGAAGGCTATCATTCAGAATAGAAGGAGAGATAGTTTCCCAGACCAACACTAAAGGAGTTCATGACCATAAAACAAGTCCTGAAAGAAATATTAAGAAGGACTCTGAGTAGAAAGGAAAAAAACAAAAGTAACAAAGACAAGAAAGGAGGGGTGCCTGGGTGGCACAGTCAGTTGAGCATCTGACTCTTGGTTTTGGCTCAGGTTGTGATCTCAGGATTGTGAGATGGAGCCCTGTGTCAGGCTCCATGCGCAGAGTAGAGTCTGCTTAAGATTCTTCCTGTGTCTCTCCCTTCTGCACTCTCTCTAAAATCAATTAATCAATCAATCAATCTTAAAAAAAGACAAAGATCAGAGAAAATCTCTAGACACAATGAAAAAAACAAGTAACAAACTAGTACTAAATACATAACTATCAATAATTAATCTGAATGTAAATGCACTGAACACTCTAATCAAAAGACATAGGATGTCAGATGGATAAAAAACAAGACTCATCTACATGCTGGCTATAAGAGACTCACTTTAGACCTAAAGACACCTGCAGATTGAAAGTGAGGAGATGAAGAAAAATTTACGTCACAAATGGATGTCAAAAGAAAGCTGGAGAGAAATACTTTTTTAAAGGATTTATTTATTTATTTTAGATAGATAGATAGAGAGAGAGAGAGTGCACGCAAGTGGGAGGGGCAAAGGGAAAGAATCTCAAGTAGACTCCCTCCCCATTGAGTATGGAGCCTTATGTGGAGTTTGATCTTATGACCCTGAGATCATGACCCCAGCTGAAATCAAGAGTCAGATGCTTGACCAACTGAGCTACCCAGATGCCCCAAGAGAAGTACTTATATCAGACCAACTAGACTTTATTTTTTTAAAGATTGATTTGTTTATTTTAGAGAGAGCATGGGCAGGGTGGGAGAGGCAGAGGAAGAAGGAGAGAATACCAAGCAGACTCTCCACTGAACCAGGAGCCTGGTGCAGGACTAGATCCTAGGACTCTGAAATGATGAGCTGAGCTGAAGTCAAGAGTTAGATGCTTAACTGACTGAGCCATCTAGCACCACCAGACAAATTACACTTTAAAACAAAGCCTATAACAAAAGATGAAGAAGGGCCTATATAATCATAAAGGGGACAATCCAACAGGAAGATCCAAAAATTCTAAGTATTTATGCACCCAACATGGGAACACCCAAATTTGTAAAAACAGTCAATAACAAACAGAAAGGAACTAATAGATACAAATACAATATTAGGAGACTTTAACACCCCACTTACATCAATGGACAGATTATCTATACAGGAAAATAAACCAGGAAACAATGGCTTTGAATGACACACCGGATCAGATGGACTTAACAGATATATTCAGACATTCTATCCTAAAACAGTGGCATACACATTTTTTTCAAGTGCACATGGGACATTCTCCAGAATAGATAACATACTAGGTCACAAATCAGGCCTCAAAAAATACAGAGAGACTGAAATCATACCATGCAACCTTACTGATCACAATGCTATGAAATTAGAAATCAGCCACAAGAAAAAGTTTGGAAAAATACATGCAAAGTTAAACAACATGCTACTCAACAATGAATGGGTCAACTAGGAAATTAAAGAGGAAATTAGAAAATACATGGAAACAAATGACAATGAAAACACGATGGTCCAAAACCTTTGGGAAGCAGGAAAAGCAAATGCAAGAGGGACATATATACCAATAAAGGCCTTATTCAAGAAGCAAGAAAAGTCTCAAATCAACAACCTAATCTTACAACTAAAGGAGCTAGGAAAAGAACAAATGAAGCCTAAAGCCAGCAGAAGGAAGGAAATAATAAAAATTAGAGCACAAATAAATGAAATAGAAACCAAGAAAATAATAGAACAGATCAATGAAACCAGGGGGTAGTTCTTTTTTTAAAATTTTTTTTTATTTTTTTATGATAGTGAGAGAGAGAGAGAGAGAGAGAGAGAGAGAGAGAGAGAGAGAGAGGCAGAGACACAGGCAGAGGGAGAAGCAGGCTCCATGCACCGGGAGCCTGATGTGGGATTCGATCCCGGGTCGCCAGAATCGCGCCCTGGGCCAAAGGCAGGCGCCAAACTGCTGCGCCACCCAGGGATCCCCCAGGGGGTAGCTCTTT